AACATCCATATGAGGCAGGTTCTGTTATCCTCACACATCTCAGATGAGTAAACTAACTGTTAAATTTCTTGTATAATATATCTATAAACGGCAGAGCTGGGATTTGAAGCCAGATAGACAGTTCTAGAACCCACATCCCTAACTTCTCAGTATGGTACAGTCCATAGAAGAAATACTTGCAGGATACCAAATATGCTGGTGGATAATAAGCTGACAGAAAATAACAATCATAAATGTAAATAAACCCTTCGAAGGATATTTTGAGAATTCACTTGCAGGTGACCATTCAGTAATAAATGGCTATGAGACCCTAACAAAATATACTCCTGCAGTAAAACCTTGAAAAGTGGATGACTCCTTCTGAGCAAGGGTTTTGGAAAACGATTGAAATAACTCTGCAAATCAATATACAATCATTGACCTGATTATATGCATTCAGATACCAGTAACTGAGACACGGGGCTTCTAGAAGTGGTTTGAGAATTACTTAGGAGGCAAAATTTACAGGACACAGTGACTGATGGTTGTGGGCACTGAGATAAAATGTATTGTCAAAGTTAATAATGAGGTTTCTGGCTTGAGCAACTGGGTGATGGTCAAAGCACTCACAGTCCTGGAGCACAGGAGGAGCTGCAGAGATGGCAGGGAAGGGCAGGCTGTGTTGAGTGTGTCAACTGTGAGATGGTGAGTCATCCAAATGGAGATGTCCGGTTAAATGCATTTACGTTTCAAGATATAGTTATAGACTAAGTAGATCAATCAAGAGTTTATCAATACATAAATAGTAATGAAATGCAAATGAATGAACAAGATCCCCTGTAAATAGTGTCCTCAGTGTGGGGAAAAAAAGTCAGGACTAAATCAATATTTAAGGGATGTGACAGTAAAGGATTTCTCTTGAAAAAGTGAAAGCAAATGGTCAGAAAGATGAGAGGAAAACTCATGAAAGATGATGTCCTAGAAATTAAGAAAAGCAAGATTTATTTTGTCAAATGTGTTTTTTTTCCTGAAACTTATTAGTGCTTTGTAGAAATTTGATGCTGTTGCTAACAATTTTTATATGCAATATAAAGTATGGTTCATATGACTTATCAAACCATGAAGCTAAGTCTTAATACCCTTTTCGTGGCCACCATAGCAATATTTCTGGCCAGGTTCTTATAAATCTGATGAGAGAGATTTTATAAAGCATAGCTACATCCTATTTTTTCAGCTTTCCTTTTGAAAATGGTGATAATAGTGGCATTATTAAAAGCATGGGGAATCTTTTCAGTTCTTCATTTTTTGAGACAAGTCTACCTATGCCTAGAAGAGACTACACACAAAAGAGAACTATTGTTGAGAGTATAGGCAGTACTTATCCCTTTTTCTTCAAACGTATTGGAAGTTTTTGTTAGTCTTTATGATTTTGCAAAGGATCTATGAAAACTGTAGTCTGTTCTCACCACGGCCATCACCTATCACTTCAGGATGTCAGCAAAGATGGCAATGCTTTGTAAATTCCTTTTCCTTCTCCTGGACTCAGAAAGAGAAGTGACAACTTCTTTGAATGTAAGTGCTTAGTTTTGATTTTCTGTGCTCTTATCTTTACAGGGCTTTATTCATTCATTTTATAAGTGTCCTTATTTATTTACTCAAATATTTACCAAGAATATGATGTTTCAGGCATGCCCCTGGGGCTGAAGACACAGAGATGAACAAAACAGAAACTGTCACTGCACTCACAGAGATTGGCAAAATCTGTGACCAGAGAGGGCTGCCGTATTTCATTGACATTTATTTATATTGGTATCCTAGAAGATAAGAAAATATTGCATAAGGTTTTTATTTTTCATCTAAATTTATAAGAGCACCCGAAGGTAGTGAATATCCTCATAAACATTGTAAAGACTTGGTGTTGGTGATGGTCCTCATGCCTCTAGCTCCCTATATCACTCAGCCTTGCCCTTTACCCTCCCTTTGGGGAAAGCAGTTGGGCTATATTGCATGGACTGAAATGTTCTTTGCATTTTAATGTACTATGCTCAAATCCTCTCCCCTTGTGTCAGGAGTGATGGAAAAAGAGGCAACCCAGCCACGTATGAAAGAGGATTGGTTTCCTGGGCTCCACAACTAAGGTGAAAAATTACTATTGGGGAAAATAGGACAACAAAAACCAGAGGCAGCCAAGCCAAGTACGGACAACTAGGAAGCTTCAGAGTTTGAGTCCTGATGGGCTACTCCAAGTTTCAAACCTGAAATTTATGCCTGGTGAGATCAGACTGAGACAAGAGCAAGGAAGAGTTCAGGATATAAACAGAGCTACTTGTGTAAACACAAGGGAATACTTAGAGCACACATACAGGGAGAGCTGATGCATAGTATGTTGAATGTAAGTGGGGAAAATAAAGTTAACCATGAAGTTATGCTCCCCCACCCCATAAGTGTCTTTATATTAGTGCTATATTACCGATGGTTAGTGTTGGCAATACCATTCATTCACGGGTTCTATAGGTATCGAATTAAGAAATGCATACACACTTACTGCTAATTCTGTACTTGTAAATAGGGACATTGTTCTTTGGTGGAGTTGAGAAGGATCCCGAAATAGGGTTAAGTAGATTGTGTAGTGAGCTCCAGAGATAAATACTCACTAGTTATAAATGGTGTTCTTTGGAGTTGACTGATGTAGTGGTTATGACACTGGAGATATCTTTGTTGTATAGTTTATTATAGTTGCTTTTAATCTTTCAGAGCCTTTTTTATTTTTTCCTGGTAGACATACCTTTCTAATGTGTTTCTTTTTATCCTTCAATACTTTAAGAACAATTGTTCATATATCTACAATGTTTAAACAGCAAAAGGCAGTAATACAGAAACTCACACACACCATATTTAATTATTTATTTAAGAATTAGAAAATAGTTGATTATTCAAACAGGTATAATGTACATTTTTTTATCAAAAAATTCATTTTGGGGGATACATTTTTTAAAATTATCTCAGTACACAAAAATAGAAATATTCAAGTAACATTTTAATGCTGAAAATAAGTTAGGCCTTAATAAATTTGTTTTTACAATGTTTCACAGTAGGATACCTTTAACGTGATTGGCTTCATTTTTCATTGCTATCCAGGTTAATTCTGATACAGTATATCAATTCTTCCGTACTTTAATTTCCATTTAATATTGTTCTTGCATTAATTCAAGTTATACTTTAAAAATTCTAGGATGTGATTAAGGATTCTGCCCTCCCTATATTTTAGTAGTTTTTACAGATACATATAAGCTTAGATTATTTTCATTAATAAGAGTGAAAATAAGAGAAGAAGACGGGAACAATAGGAAACCAATCAATGTTTTATTTGTATATTGGAGTCAGGTAAGGACACTGGGTGGAACCAAAAAAGTGATTATAGAATCAGATTTTAAGTACGTTGGGGCCTTGACTTATGAGTGTCCCGACTAACGAGTTTTTTGAGATACCAGCTGACTCTAGGCCGATGTTTTGCATTGAGTTGACAGAGTAATTTGAGTTAACGAGCTCCTTAACGAGCTCCTTAACGAGCTTGGTCTTGGAATGAATTAAACTCGTAAGTCAAGGCCCTGCTGTATATGGACTTTGAAGACAACTTCTGCTTTTTTAAGTTTTCTTCTTATACCTGAAATAGCTTACCAGCCAATCACCATCCAAGTATAACTCTCCTCTGTCTACACTTTGTGATTAACCAGAAAAAAAAAGAAGTAATGCCTTAATAATATACATCCTAAACACTCCAAGTTGCAACTAACAAAGTCTTAGTAACCTAGAAGGCAGACAGAGCAGTAACTGATTTAGGGCCAGGTAACAGAGCCCACAGGAAAAAAATAAAAGTGTTGTTGTTGTTTTTAATTAACGTGGATTTTAGATTTGGAGCAGCATAACTAAATTTTATTTTGCTTCATTCACAGAAAATTAAATATTCTTACTGGTTGTATAACATACATTATTAGAATAGTTTTGGTGACAAAGTAAGATGAAAACAAAACTAAGAATGATTTTGGAAACAGACCATTTAATGGAATCATTGTTTTATTTTCCAGTTTTCTTTGGTATGCCTTGAAATGTGATTTTAAAAGACTTGTCCAAGAAGGGAGAAGGGTCGCAACCTCTTGAAATTCACATTTCGTTTGCCATGATAATCACAGCCTTTCCCGCCCCAGGTTTCTCTGCTTTCAAATAAATAAAAATTCCATTATTTCAGAAGGCATCGCTCCTTTTTTCAATCTAACTCATTGGGGATATTCTTTCACCTGTGATTATGTCTTTATATTTTTAATCTGCTGCAGTTTTTAGTCAAATAGGATGTTTCCCCTGAAATATTAAAAATAAAGATAATTTAGTGTGCTTTTAATGACCACTATAACTTTTCGTTTGGGAGCCATAAAGATTTTTTGAGGTTTATTGTGTGAGTCATATATAGTATATAAGATGTACCTCTCTTGAAAAAAATTAATAATTTTGGAAACTGAAACATGGTAATGATTTATTATATCTCTCTACTATTTTCAAGCCATCTGGCTTGAAACACTGAGAATGAGATTTCCCCAAAAGGAAAGTAACATTTAGTTAGGTTAAGTGTCAGGTTGCTAGCATACAGTGTATAAAAGTCAATAGGAACCAAGTGATATTAGCGAACTTCATCTGCACCGCTAGGAGGTTGTTGAACTCAATTACAGAAATGTGCCAAGCTCTATTTGATGCGTGACAAGGTTAGGAGACCACAATCAATTAAAAAGAACACATGTATATCCTATTCTGGGGAAACAGTATTGTTATAGTACCCCTTGTTCGGTTTTTGCTTTTTTTTCTCTGACGTTTCCTCTGAACACAGGAGAACAAAGGTTTTAATAATTCCCCAGTTTCATTTGAAATTGTTTTGTCACCAATATCTAATGGGAAGACCCAAGCTTGTTGTTTTACTTGAATGAAGCCTCAGGTGGCTACAATTAAACATGATCTATTTTCTTTTCTTGTAGCCAAACCATTTGAAAACGGACAGTATTTGGACATTTATGGAATCACCAGGGACCAGGCTGGAGAATATGAATGCAGTGCAGAAAACGATGTGTCATTCCCGGATGTGAAGAAAGTAAAAATCGTCGTAAACTGTAAGTCCCATCAACTTTTATCAAAACAACCTCAGAGGAAAAATGCTGTCTGAAATTTATGTTGCAGTTTTTAATAGTCTATTGATAAAGACCACCTAATGATGTGAAAAATGCGTAGATGTTAAAATATTGGTCAAATTGTTTTATGCATCATCAATTATCCCCAATAATCCCATCGTCATTCAGTTGAATGTGCAGATGGAAATATTTCCTATATCCCCCGAGTCCCTGCCATTCTAAACAGTGGTATCCCTACCTCTAATGCACTGCAGACACATGGTGTTTTCGTCATTCTTGTAGCTTTCACCTGTAGCTTGTTTTGACTTAATGTAACTGTGAGACTCCTAATCAAACCTGATGGAAATGAAGTGTGCTGGTCAGTACTCAACAAAGAAAGCAGTTACTGTGCTGCTCCTATTACTTAGGTTATTTAATTTAAAAAACATGGAGAAAAAGAAATTTTCTCATAAACATCATTATTAGGAAGTTGGTGTAGTGAGAGATATCTGCAGAACTATCAATGTCACTAGCCATGCCCTTTCTTTAAATGCATCTCAAACTATTGATGTAAAATATTTTTTATTACACCCTATTTTATACCTTATGATTTCAACAGCCATAACTGAAATGGTTTTTTAAAATTTATCTTTATTGTTGAAAGGATTACAGATGTTCCTTTTTCTTCCCCCATTGACCTCTCCACCTCACACTACCACTCCCTGACCTTCAACAGCACAATTGTCTGTGTCCATGGGTTATGCATATCTTACCTAATAATAGACAAACATGTAAATTGACCGTCCCTCTGCTACACTCACCAGCCAATCAGGAGAGTATGCAAATTAACCCAAGAAAGATGGCGGTTAATTTGCATATGTAGGCACTAAGTGGCAGAACGAAGACTGAAGGCTCTGGCCAGAGCGAAGGCCTGGGTCCCAGATGCCCGAGGAAAACTGGTACTGGCAGCCAGGGGAAGGGAAGGCCTATTGCACGAATCTCTTCATACAACGGGCCTCTAGTATGCATATAAGCTCTTTGATTAATCTCTTCCCACCTTGCCCCTCTTTCCTCTGAGATTAGTCTGTCTATTCCAAGCTTTCATGTCTTTGGGTCTGTTTTGCTCCTCAGACAGCATGGAGGGACCTGGAGAGTATTATGCTAAGTGAAATAAGACAGTCAGAGAAAGACAAGTATTACATGATCTCACTATCTGATGCAATAGTCTTAACTTTAAAAATACCCCCTTAGTATTTTCCTCAAAAAATTTTGCATTATTTAACCTATTCAAATAAAGTACTTTGGAGGTACTAGTATTTTGCCAAGTGAGTACAAGTTATAGCTTTCAATTTTTTCATTCTATTTATACATCTTCCTATTGATGGCTATTGTTAATAATTCATATATCATACCATAGATCAGAAAAAATTTTCCAAATATATGCCAAAATTTTAGAACAAAGCAGTTTTTTCATATTAACATATATCTTTCCATTTCATGGGCCAAAAATAATTATCTAAATACCCCTGGCAGTAGAGCATCAGCCAAGTCAAATCACTGCCATAAAGTAAGATTTGTCAGTGACTAATCTATGCATTTGGGGTTGAACTATCTCCGTGAGACTGAGCAAAGGTGCAGAATTTTTCATATATGTCCTGCAGACAAACTTTAGATTTATCCAAGAAGCTCATTAAAAATGGAAAATTTATGTTTTTCCACATCAACCCTACTGAATCAAAATCCTTGGCGTACACGGCCTGCAGATCTGCATTTGTAATAAGTAGCCATTGAGTCTCATGACTCCAGTTGCAGAGGGCTATTGCTCATCCCTCCTGAACTCTCTAAAATTAGAGGTAAAAAAACATGACTACTAACCATATTTATCTGAGTATTAGTCTACTGATTTTATTGTTGAAGTGGTAGGAAGGGAGGTAAGAAATAGAACTGCTATGGAAGTAATATATTTAGCATTGAGAACAAAGAAATGAAAAGGTGGAGTAAACTGTTAAATTAACAAGGCACCCAGCCCAGCAAGGCATCCCACTCCAAAACCCCAGACCCAGGAGGGATGTCTCCAGTGGGGATGGCATCGAAAATCCAGCTTCTGTAAGGATTCTCATGGCCCATCCTCCACAGATAATCCAGATTTCCCTTTGTACTTACACTTTCTTTCTCATCCTTTTTATCCCCCTGACTTTAGCTCATTGTCACTTATTATTTAATTTGATTCTGTGTTTTCTGCACAAGGGGAGACCTTAGACTAAGGAGGCAGAAATTTGAGAGAAACTGAATTGAAAGATTAAGAGATGACTGACCAACCAATGAGTCATCATCTACAGGATCTGGGTGGAGAAGAGAATCCTATATAATAAAGAGATGATATGCAAATTGACCATCACTCCAACACACAAGATGGCCGCCCCATGTGGTCAAAGATGGCCAGCAGGGGAGGGAAGTTGGGGGCAACCAGACCGGCAGGGGAGGGCACTTAGGGGTGACCAGGCTGGCAAGGGAGAACAGTTAGGGGTGACCGGGCCACCAGGGGAGGGCAGTTAGGGGGTGATCAGGCCAGCAGGGGAGGGCAGTTAGGGGGTGATCAGGCTGGCAGGCAGAAGCGGTTAGGGGCAATCAGGCAGGCAGGCAGGCGAGCAGTTAGGAGCCAGCAGTCCTGGATTGTGAGAGGGATGTCCAACTGCACATTTAGGCCCGATTGGCAATTGGACATCCCTCAAGGAGTCCCAGATTGGAGAGGGTGCAGGCTGGGCTGAAGGACACACACACCCCTGCACGAATTTTGTGCACTGGGCCTCTAGTCCTTATATAAAACAGAAGGTCAGAAACTGGGGACACAAGATGCCGAGAACAGTGAAGGACCTGCCACAGTTTCATGTACCTTGGCAGGAGACAGAGAGAAAGGGCAGTTTATTACTCATAGCAACAGCAGTAGGCAGAGTATTGTCATCTTGCAGCAGTCCCCCAGGCGCACTCAGGGTGATACAATGAGGGCTGGGTGACACCTACATGCCCAGTTTATGTCATAGCTGAGGTTCCCTGAGCTTAGGAAACTTGGTGTGTGTTTTTTGTTTTGTTTTGTTTGTGTGTTTTTTATAATGGCAGCAAGCAAAACTGCCCTTTACCACAGAGGGAGCAATTATCTTTATTATACTGGACTGTAAACAAACCTGCCCTTTGCTCCATAAGGAGAGCTACTTCTTCTGTCTTTGGAGACTGTTTGCTATTACACACATTTTTGAAAAGACAGCTGGGAACAAAAGCTGTCAGTGCCTCTGCTCACAAGACATGCAGAAACACAAGAGGCCCCTGGGTAATTGTTTTTCAGCAAGGGATGGGAGCAGGAAAGTTTGAAGCAGGGCCTGGAGACATTTCATCAGCTGAAAAGTGTGCTTCAGGGGCTTTGTAGCGTGTCAGACACCTAAGGATAGGTAGGAAAGAAGACTTTGTTAACCAACTTTACCTTCAGAGGGGAAACAGGAAAGAAAAAGGGAAAGTTAGAATAAAAGTAAAAGAGGTTGCTTTTTAAAATCAGAACACAGGAAACCTTTATTTTTTAAAGAACTAATTTCAGTTAAATTATAGTCAGTCCTAAGTGCAAATCGTTGTACACACATGATATTAACATAGCTCACACTAAAAAAATGGACCCAATAGAACTTTTAATAATTTAAAACAATCAGCTTTGTCTGCTGCTCCTTCCAAAATTATGCTTAAGATAGCCTACCTTTTCCTAAATGTACCATGAAGAACTGTATATAATACTGATTGATCAATTGCATTCATATCTATTGAATCAGTATTTAATGTAAGAGATGAGTTCTGTTCAGATTTCTGGTCAAGACCTAAATTTTGCCTTTGTTTGGAATAGTTATGTCACACATATACCAATGATGTCTAAGTCATGTAGGTGTGTGAGTGTATGTGTGTAGTTGTTCCTAGTTATGAGGAGGTTTGAAAAGTGTTAATTTTATGAATTTATAAGTCAAAAAATTGAGCACTATCTAAGGATTTTACTGGGATGATTTCCCAAAGGAAATGAGCCAAATCCTACTGAGCAAACTCTATTTTGTCAATGATCACAATTGAGTAGAGTGGTTTATGTTACCAGCACAGAACTGCTCATCCCCAGACAGCCCCAAGAGTCCCTGAGGATAGACTTGTGCCAGGTCAAGGCAGCCATCCTTTTCATCGTTATTAATCAGTATCGATTGTGCTTCTATAACTGCAGTCGCTTTGTGACATAATTTGAAGAGAACTTCTGTCCTTTTTCCCAAATGGGGTTCAAAATGAAATATAATAAATTTTTATAAGCTCTAATAAACTTAGTTATGTGTTAAGTCAATTTGAGAAAGAGATTTAGGTTCCTTGCAAGTTAGAAATGTTTGATGTTAATTATTTATCTAATACTTCTGCCATATTCACTGTATTATAAAACACACACATATAATAAAAATAACATCGTATTTGCCATATAAAAAATAACATCATATTTGCCACTCTGTTATGTGAATTTCTATTCAATTTAATCAAACAGCTGTGTAGTTAAATGATTGGTATAATTGACGTATTTTGTATAGATTGGACTAGTTAGTTGATTTAATAAAATGGCTAATTTTGAGTTATTTACAGATTTTGTAGGTGACTATTCTTTGTCTTTATCTGTATTTCATTATAATTATATATAAAAATGTCTTCATATATACATGCACTTAACATATGTATATATTTCATGAAAATTTTTTAAAAATATCTAAATAATAAAAAGGAATTATGGCAGTATGTTAATTAGACCTTAAAAGATTAATACACATACACATAGCAAGAGAGAGAAAATTTTGGACCAGTTGGTAGGCTAAGCCAGAGGGAGCTAGTGGATTAGAGTTGGACAGTTTCTCTGTTCTTTTTGCATTTGTATTCCATCCCAGAAGCAGCCTAGAGCATACTATTTTTATCGTAGTTCCACAATTTTTATTGTTAAACACACACAC